CCAGGGGCCCTGACTCAGGCGGTCTGTCTGTGAATGCAAATGAGCGAAGAGGAACAAATGGATATCCCGTCACCGTGTTGCAGAGGTGGGTCCCAGAGACGTTGCACTGGGCCGAAGCCCTGTCACCTGTCCCCTCATTCACATCGGACCTCACCGAGGGCAGTGTGCATGGTGGCTCTTCCCGGAGCCAGTCTCTGTCATTCAGAGCCTCCGGCGTGAGTGGTCACAGACATGAGCCTTTGGATCCCACCCCACGCCCGGCCACTGCCCCCCCGCCTGCCTCCACTCTGTGCTAGTCTTCACTCATCTATTCACTTATTCATTCATTCAGCCAATATCTATGGGCGACCAGCTCTAGGAAATTTAAACATTTAAGACATTGTATTAGTTTCCTGTGGCTTCTGTAACAAAGTATCACAAATGACCTGGCTTAAAACAACAGTGATTGCCCTAGCTGGTTTGGCTTGGTGGATAGAGTGTCGGCCTGCGGACTGAAGGGTCCCAGGTTCGATTCCAATCAAGGGCACATGCCTGGGTTGCGGGGCATGCAGGAGGCAGCCGATCAATGATTCTCTCTCAACATTGATGTTTCTATCTCTCTCTCTCCCTCTCCCTTCCTCTCTGAAATCAATAAAAATATATTTTTTAAAAAAAACCCACAACAATGATTTATTCTCTTAGTCCTGGAGGCCAGAAGTTCAAAAATCAAGGTGTTGGTAGGGCCATGCCCTCTCTCCTGGCTTCGGGTCCTTGGTTCCTGGGCTCACAGCTGCGTCACGCTGAGCAATGCCCCAGTCACCTGACCTTCTCTCTGGGTCTGGTCTTCACACGGAGTTGTTCTTGTGCTCTGTGTCTTCCCTTTTTATTTTCAAAATTAGAGGCCTGGCGCACGAAATTCATGCACTCGGGGGAAAGGGGGTCCCCTCAGCCCAGCCTGTGCCCTCTTGCAGTCCAGGAGCCCTCAGAGGAGCGGGCCTAAGCCAGCAGTTGGACATCCTTAGTGCTGTGGAGGCGGGGAAGACTCCTGCCACCACTGCCATGCTCGCCAGCCATGAGCTTGGCTTCTGGCTGAGCCGACTGCTCCTGTGGGAGCACACTGACCACCAGGGGGCAGCTCCTGCATTAAGCGTCTGCCCCCTGGTGGTCAGTGCACATCATAGGGACTGGTCATTCTGCCATTTGGTCGATTTGCATATTAGCCTTTTATTATATAGGACTAGTAGCCCAGTGCATGAAATTCATGCACATTAAAAGGGAATTAATTGCCATAACCAGTTTGGCTCAGTGGATAGAGCATCAGCCTGCGGATGCAAGGGTCCCAGGTTCGATTCAGGTCAAGGACATGTACCTTGGTTGCGGGCACATCCCCAGTGGGGAGTGTGCAGGAGGCAGCTGATCAATGTTTCTCTCTCATCGATGTTTCTAACTCTCTATCCCTCTCCCTTCCTCTCTGTAAAAAATCAATAAACTACATTTTTTTAAAAAGGGAATTAATTAGCAGTATTGCTATTTGCCCTTTCTCTATAATAGAAGTGTGCGAGGTGAAAGGAAATTAGTAAAATGTATATGAAGATAATATATAAATTTATTAATAAATAAACAGTAACAAAAGGATACAACAACAACAGAGCATGATATAAAAATGACAAAAACAGCTCTGACCGGTTTGGCTCAGTGGATAGAGCGTCGTCCTGCGGACTCAAGGGTCCCAGGTTCGATTCTGGTCAAGGGCATGTACCTTGGTTGTGGGCACATCCCCAGTGTGGGGTGTGCAGGAGGCAGCTGATCGATGTTTCTCTCTCATCGATGTTTCTAACTCTCTATCCCTCTCCCTTCCTCTCTGTAAAAAATCAATAAAATATATTTTAAAAAAATGACAAAAACATGATATGAAAACAACAGTGATGCAAACAATGACTGATAAAGTGATTAAACTTATTCTAATATTTCCCTGTACACCACATTAAGAGTGAAAACACTTTCAGAGTGCTTGACTAATTTCCCTTGTGATGAAGTACTTAGAACTTTAACTGTAACATCACATGCTCTTCAAACTCGAGGGAAAGCAACATATAACTGACCATATGCAAAAAAGGGCTCAGGTAGGAATATGCCTACTTTGTCTAGAGTTTGTCCTTGTGATTTATTAATAGTCATCACAAATGCTGGCATCATGGGAAACCGTCGTCGAATCAGTTTAAATGGGAGGCCAGTGTCAGATGGGGACAAACTAATTCTTGGTATCAGAACAGCCTCTCCCTCTGCAGATCCTGGTAATACTTCAGCTTTGATAATGTTAGGTTGTAATCTTTTGATAATAAATCTGGTACCATTACAAAGACCCCATTTACTATTGAGATTTCTCAATAGCATGATGATTGCCCCCGCTTTCAATTTTAATTTGACACGGCATTCCCGAAGGAGTAATACTATTCAGAAATTCGATGGGGAAATTTTCCTTTGTTTCTTTGTTATGGGGTGGGGCCACAACATTAGTAACAAAGAAACAGAATTAAAATTTTATTGTGGGGAGCCGCTACGGTGTTTTGGACAGGTTCAAGCCTTGGACTGATGAGAGGGCACAGTCCTCTCATTGCCACGTGCAAGTCCCAGCTTGGAGGGCAGGGCCCTCCCAGCACAATTATAGCAACAGCTGTAGCTGTGAGCGTGAACCTGTGGTTGGAACACATGGCCCCACGTGCCTGAGTGATGTGGGCTTGATAGAGTTCAGGTGCATACGTTTGAGTATGATTGAAACCCAGGAGAATGTTTGTAAACATCTTGGTCACGCCCTTACTTTGCCTCGTAGCATCTGCTATAAAATAAAGGCATGGCTGTGGGCGTGGTCACTGTCTCTCAGAGAAGCAGTGTCCCACTGAGACCTGGCTTTCATTCTCTTGTTTGTCTTTTCTAAGCCTTTCAGCTGCCCCACTCAGGTTCACCCTGTGCTGGCATGGCACACTTTAGAAAGATCTGCCTCCACGCTCCCAGGGCGGGTTCCTGCCACAAACTCCGCCCTTACAGGAAACAGCTCCGGGAAACTGCTTGGGGGCGGGCTCAACTATTGCCAAGACAACCCCTGTAGGACTGACTTCCCTCCGCTGGGTCACAGCTGTTCGTCTGTATGTGATGAACACCACCCATGGTTTTTATATAAGTAGATGTTTTTATTGATTTCAGACAGGAAGGGAGAGGGAGAGAGATAAAAACATTAATGATAGACAAAATCATTGATTGGCTGCCTCCTGCACGCCTCCCACTGAGGATTGAGCCCACATCCTGGGAAGTGAACCTCCTGGTTCATGGGTCAATGCTTAACCACTGAGCCATGCCAGCTGGGCATGATGGCTTTCTTGCTCCATAGGGTGATGTTTCTCAACTTCCCCTTAAACTTAAGATTTAGTCCAGCCCTAGCCAGTTTGGCTCAGCGGATAGAGCATCGGAATGGGGGCTGAAGGTCCCCAGGCTTGATTCCGGTCAAGGGCACATGCCCGGGTTTCAGGCTCGATCCCCAGTAGGGGGCGTGCAGGAGGCAGCTAATCGATGATTCTCATCATTGATGTTTCTGTCTCCCTCTCTTTTCCTCTCTGAAATCAATTAAAAAATAAAATTAATTAAAAGAAAAGACTTAGTCCATATTTGGGGTCAGTTTCCTATATCTCTGTCATATTCTCTAGTCGATAGAAGAGCCATCAGAAACCATAGCAACATGCTCTAAATCACCTTTTTTTTTGTGGTGCCCTCTACATCCATGCAGTTAGTACCAGATGGGACTCTGCAATGTGGACTCCGGAGGAAAGCGTTTTCCTTAAATTCGGTGAGAGGTGTTTTCCCTGGGCCATCGGCGCCCACGTCCGATGTTCCCCGCGTGACATGTGCGCTGTTGGCCTTGGTAAGAGGCTCAGTTGTTCCGAGCTCTTCTTTTAGCTCAGCTCACAGGCTGCCTGTGCGTTGTGGGTTTTTCATGCAGAAGTCTTTGGCCGAGGTCGCACATGTGCACATTCTCTTGCTAGATATTTACCAACCTGGGGCTATTTTTAACACTCACTTTCTCTGCCTTACAACCACAGTCCGAATGGAAAGCCCTGACTGGCTCCTCTCACTGAGCACGATGTCTCCAAGGTGCATCCATTCTGCTTGAGAGAAGCCACTCACAGAAAGACACCTACTGTGCGAGTGCTCAGGAGGCGGAGCAGGGCGAGGCCCGGGCACAGGCAGGCTCATCGGTGGCGGGGACTGGATGGGTCGGGCAATTAGTGTTCAGTGGGGACAGGGTTTCCGTTTGGGAAGGTGGAAAAGTTCTGTAGACGGATGGTGGTGCCGGTTTCACAGCATGTACATCACCCTCAGGCCCTGAACTTAGAAATGGTCACAATGGTAAATGTTGTGTATATTTTACCACAATAAGAATAAAGCCCTACGCCCTAACCGGTTTGGCTCAGTGGATAGAGCGTCGGCCTGCAGACTGAAGGGTCCCAGGTTCGATTCCGGTCATTGGCATGTACCTGGGTTTCGGGCACATCCCCAGAAGGGGGCGTGCAAGAGGCAGCTGAATCGTTTCTCTCTCATCGATGTTTCTAACTCTCTATCCCTCTTCCTCTCCCTCTCTGTAAAAAATCAATAAAATATATTTTAAAAAAAGAATAAAGCCCTGCAATAACCCAAGGGACTACATCTAAATATATCCAAAGTGGTAATCGATACATAACAACTCACAGTCCTGAGGGGTGGGGCTAGGAGAGGGACAGTGGATGTAGGGAAGAAGAGCAGGCAAAGGAGATATTTTACAATTTATGCTATGAGTTAGGTGGGAGGGGTGTCTTTTTTTTTTTTTTAATTAAAAAATTTAACCCAGACGGCGTGGCTCAGTGGTTGAGCGTTGACCTATGAACAAGATCACAATTCAATTCCTGGTCAGGGCACATGCCCAGGCTGCGGGCTCGATCCCCGTTGTAGGACTTGTAGGAGGCAGCCAATCAATGATTCTCTCTCATCATTGATGCTTCTCTCTGTCTCCCTTCCTCTCTGAAAGCAATAAAATACATTAAAACATTTTTTTTAATTAGAAAATTTTAAAGCCCTGGGGAAGATCCCTCGGGCCACCAGTACTAGCGCATCCTATGGCCTTTGATCTCCTTTCTCTGGACAAGCCCCACAGCGAATCCAGTCAGAACTCCAGGTGGTGAGGGCCCTGGGCTCTGGGCTCCTGCTGGGGTCTGCGCAGGGAGGGCTGGAGGGCCCAGCATCCCAGGAACTCACTGTGCTCATCCGCATCCAGTCGCCTCTAGTCCTTTGACGTTAGGTAAGCTGTTTAGGTTCAAGGGTGTTTCACTCACATGGCTTCCTGGGGACTGCATTTTCTGGGGTGTGCAGGGAGTTCTCCATCAAAGCTTGATGGAGCAGAAAATGCGTGCGAATGCTCCCAGCAGTACTCTGTTACAGCGTAAGAACCCTTGTAAATATTCACTACGCTAGAGGCTCGGTGCATGAAATGCGTGCACGGGTAGGGTCCCTAGGCCTGCCCAGCGATCAGGGCCAATCTGTGGGGCAACCAGCGGGGCGATTGGGGCCCCCACTCGCACCTGCCTTGGCCTGGCAACGCCCGCTCACCTGCTCCACCATTCCTGCCACAGCCCCGCTCTTGTCGAGGTCCATTGGGGCTGGCAGCGCCTCCACTGCTGCCTGCTGCCAGCACCACTTTGCCAACGTCGGCCATGTTCCATGCTGCCCTGTGGTGGTCAGCGCACGCCTAACTCCTGGTCGGTTGAACTCCCATCTGTGGGGACAATTTGCATATTAGCCTTTTATTATATAGGATGTTACGTTATTACACCATTTGAACCAGGAATATTGAAAGGTCAGCCTAATGCTCTCTCTGGAGGCGCGGTTTTGAATATAACCAAATGGGATAATGGTCAGGAATACCCAGAGTGGGCAATGTAACACGTCGTCAAGAATTATGTTGCCCTGGACCTCAGTGGTGCTTGGCACTCGGCCTGGTGTTGGACACAGGTGGGCTCTCCCTGCCACCTGCCCACCCTCCTGGAGGCTGGCCTGTGGGCTGAGGGAGCGGAACCCAAGCCCTGCCCGCCCTGAAGCAGATGATGTTGGGATGGTCTAGAAAGCTATGGGTTTTGAAGTAAATTCTTAATGTTTCATATTGTTAATATCCGGAAAGTTTATTAAATGTTGTTGAGAGCCTTATTACTATTTTCAGATCCTTTCAATAAACAAACTTCTTTAAAAAAAAAAATTAAAAAAAAAAAAGAATTGTGCTGTGAGTTTTAAGTTTTCAGGACAACAAAGATGCCAATCCTATCTAATAAAAGAGAAACATGGTAATTAGCGTATGACCGCTACCCTTCCCATTGGCTAATCAGGGTGATATGCAAATTAACTGCCAGCCAAGATGGCGGCCGGCAGCCAGGCAGCTGGAAGCGAACATGAGGCTTGCTTGCTTCAGTGATGGAGGACTCCAACGTTCCCTGCCTGCCTTGCTGGCCTCTGAGCCTGCAGTTTGAAACATTGTAACAAATATAGAAGCTAAGCAAAACCCCCAGAAACCAGCTTTCAGCCAGCCGGGATTTCAGAGGTGGAGTTGATACTGTGTTTCGATTATAGAACCCAAACAAACCAGATACCTGCTTTCAGCAGCAGAGGCCTCAGAGCTGGAGCCAGAGCTAAAGCTGGCCCAGAATTAAAAAAAAAAAGAGAAAAGGAGCGGTTGGGAGCTTCAGTCACCCACCAGCCTGAAAATAGCCCTCAGCCCCTTACCCAGACTGGCCAGGCACCCCAGTGGGGACCCCCCACCCTGAAGGGTGTGTGACCAGCTGCAAACAGCCATCATCCCCTCACCCAGGCTGGCCAGGCACCCCAGTGGGGACCCCCACCCTGATCCAGGACAACCTTCAGGGCAAACCAGCCGGCCCCAACCCGTGCAGCAGGCCTCTATCCTATATAGTAAAAGGGTAATATGCCTCCCAGCACCGGGATCAGCGTGACGGGGCAGCGCCCAAACCCCCTGATCGCCCTGCGGCTCTGTGTGTGACAGGGGGCGGGGCCACAACCTCCCTATCCACCCTGCTCTGTTTGTGACAGGGGAAGGCGCCCCAACCCCCTGATCAGCCCTGCTCTGTGCCTGATCGGGGGGAGCTTCTCAACCCCCTGATCGCTGTGCGGCTCTGTGTGTGACAGGGTGCGTCGCCCCAACCCCCTGATCGGCCCTGCTCTGTGTGTGACAGGGTGTGGCGCCCAAACCCTTCCCACCCCCACCCCCCCATGGGCCCTGCTCTGTGTTTGACGGGGTAGAGCCATAACCTCCCCATCAGCCCTGCCCTGAGTGTGACAGTGGCAGCACCCCAACCCCCTGATTGGCCCTGCTCTGTGGATGATAGAGGGTGGCGCCCCAACCCCCTGATCCACCCTGCTCTGTGTGTGACAGGGGGAAGTGCCCCAACTCCCCTATCAGCCCTACTCTGTGAGTGTCAGGGGGGAGCTCCTCAACCCCCTGATGGGCCCTGCTCTGTGCGTGACAGAGTATGGAGCCCCAACCCCCTTGATGGGCCCTGCTCTGTGAGTGACGGGGCAGCGCCCCAACCCCCCAATTGGTCCTGCTCTGTGCGTGACAGGGGGTGGCGCCACAACCTCCCCATCGACCCTGCCTTGAGTGTGACAGGGGGCGGTGCCCCAACCCCCCAATCGGCCCTACCCTGAGTGTGACTGAGGGTGGCATCGCAACCTCCTGATCCACCCTGCTCTGTGCATGACAAGGGTCGGCACCCCAACTCCCCAATCGGCCCTGCTCTGAGCCCGACCAGGGGCTGCACCTAGGGATTGGGCCTGCCCTCTGCCACCCGGGAGCAGGTCGAAGCCAGCAGGTCGTTATCTCCCAAGGGGTCCCAGACTGCGAGAGGGCACAGGCCGGGCTGAGGGGACCTCCTCTCCCCCCCCCCCCCCCCCCGAGTGCACAAATTTTTGTGCACCGGGCCTCTAGTAAATAAATAAAATACATTCCTGCCTGGCCAGTGTGGCTCAGTGGTTGAGCATCGGCCAGGAGGTCAGGGTTCAATACCTGGTCAGGGCACATGCCTGGGTTGCAGGCTCAATCCCCAGTGGGGGAGTGCAGTTGACAGCCAATCAATGATTCTCTCCCATTTTTGATGTTCCTCTCTCTCACTCTGCCTTCCTCTCTGAAATCAATAAAAATATATTTTAAAAATGTTTCTTGTCCAAATCTAATTGTAGTTCTATGACTTCATAACTTTGTGACTTTGAGCTAGTCTTCTTAGCATTTTGAGCTATTATTGTTTTGTAAAATAGAAATGATAACTCTACGGGGTTATCAAAGGGGAAAAAAGAGATTTAAATTCATGACATTTGCTCAGCCATACAAGTAGAGACCGAAGTAAACTGAAACCAGCCTTATCGGCGTTTAAGTGGTAACGGGATCAGGGGTGATGCTGGAAATGCCTTGGCCTCATGCAGCAAGCGTTGTAAACCCACGTCCTTCAAGGGCCAGGCACATGAGCGCACAGTGGGAGGCAGGCTGGAGCGAGGCCGTGAGGCGGGCAGGGCCTGTGGCAAACTGGAGAGCCCCACACTCATTCCATCAACAAAACCAAACAAAAACTCCATGCAAGCCAAGCAAACCATGAAAGGGTTGTGTGTGGACCAGGGCCAGTAGTTGTCAATTCCTGCTTTAGAGGAGGAGAGACTGAGATCTGGTCGGGACACCAAAAGCCTTTTATAGTCCCAACCCCTAATTTTCAGAAGGTGGGGACGTGGCCAATGTAGGATCTAGATCTTAGCCCCATTTCAGGTCTCCCACGCCACCACTCGCTAGAGACATTGTTTTTCACAGATACTGTATCATTCCAAGTCTGAATTTGAATCTCTTTTGACATAGATACATTTGTGGAATTTAATCTTTCTGCCCAGGCCATGTCAGCCCCTAGGACAGCGGTTCTCAACCTGTGGGTCGCGAACCCCTTTGGGGGTTGACGACCCTTTCACAGGGGTCACCTAAGACCATTGGAAACATATATAATTACATATTGTTTTTGTGATTAATCACTATGCTTTAATTATGTTCAATTTGTAACAATGAAAATACATCCTGCATATCAGGTATTTACATGACGATTTATAACAGTAGCAAAATTACAGTTATGAAGTAGCAACAAAAATAATTTTATGGTTGGGGGTCACCACTGAAAGGACAAAGCAGAAACGAACTCTCCTCCACTTTATCTTGTAGGGCTGGGCCCTCAGCCTAAACCCCCTCCCCTTTCTGAGAGTGACCACAGGAATGCCAGTAATATCCTAACTCCCCCAGCCACCACCTGAGTGGACCAATGAAGCTCCAGGAACGCAGCTAAGGTCCTGATAAGGTTATAGTGGGGGACGGCTCAAACCTCAGAATGTGTTGGTTACTTCCTGACCTTTGTGCTGTAAAACCCTGCTGAAAAACCCTGACTAGAGTGACCAATCTCTGTAACTCACATCACTTACCTAAGTCCACCCAAATGACTAGGCCTATGTAACCTTTGTTCTCTTGGGACTCGGGGCTCTCTCTCTCATCCAATAATGGAGGCAGAGGGGGACCAAGCTGGCTTGAATAAAAGACTCTATGCTTTTGCTTTGGACTCGGCGCTCCCTAGTGATGTCCTTTGGAGGATCTTGAAATCTGGGCATAACATTTGAGGGCTCGTGCGGGACCCCCAATACTCACGAGGGACCCCGATCCGGAGAGTCTGACTGACCGCGGTAAGTATCTGTGTGTTGTCTGTTCTGTTCTGTGTGTTCTGTGCTTTGTGAGCTCACTTCTGAAATCTGTAGTTTCTGAAAACGGTCTAGGTGGATGCACTGGAGGCCTCGGGCGGGAGGAGTCGGAGGACGCTCTGATCCTCTGTCAGGAGGAAGGTGTAAAAACCCCTCACGAGGGGAGTGGGTTCCCCTTGAAACTCTGGGACGAGGCGGGTCGCTCCCGCTGGTTGGCGTAAGGCCATCGTCCAGTTTTCGTTTTGCTTCTGCGGGGTCGGAAGGCTGTTCTTGGACGCCTTTGTTTGTTTGCTTTCTGTGTTGTTTTCGGTCTAATTTTGTGGACTTACTGGATGGACATTATGGGACAGACTCAAACTACTCCTTTAAGCATTATGGTCATTTTAAAGTCAAGGGCTGGGCCAAACCTGCTTGCCAGCCTCAGGTGTGGTTTTCCAGAACCTCTGGGAACCTGGGACCTTGAAGCTTACTGAATTCAAATGATAAAAAACTTATATCTTGCATTTTTGAAGTTTATTCTTAAAAATGTTACTGATTGAGAAATGCTGAATATTTGACTTGCCAGCTAAAAGTTTAAGGTTCGGATTGAATTGGGAAAAACTGTGTGTTGTGGTAGCTAAATGCCTTTGCTGAATGAATGTCTGGTGAAAGTGTGTGAGCGTGAAGGGAGGGGGCCTGCCCTCTCCTCTCCTTTGTGTGGTTCCACAACTTCGGTCAGGTGGGCATCTGAGTAAGGATCTGTGAAAACAGGTCACCCCCTCCCTTGTCTATCTCTCATCACCAATCATCATGGGGTCGGGACAAAGTTTGTTTGTGTAGGACTAGCCAATTTACTACAGAGAGGGGGGACTGATAAAAGAAATCTAACAGTTACTGTTTTGTTATAACTCTGGAGAGTCCTTAAAAAGGACTGACAAGAAAAATCAGAAGATCTTAAAGCAGATCAGTATGTTTTTCTCCTTATATAATTCCTCTGAAATTTGGCAATGCTTAATAAGTCATGGCAATACATTTCTTTGCATGAAATCAATAAGACCGCTTTTTAATAGTGATTTTATTAACCAGAAACTTTGACTGGAGTATCATGTTTTAAAGAAACCTGTCTGAGCTCTGAAGACTTGAAGCCAATAAAAGTGCCACAGGAAAAGCCTGGTATCCTGCTTGGGAGCCCTAAAGATGGCTGGCGCTGGAGCGTCAGGCCCATGCCCTACCATCACTGGCGGTTGGACAGAGTAGAAGGGGAGCAATAAGGACGCCTCTGCATCCCTGCGGAACCCCCACACACTCTGGGCCACAACGAGCAGGAGGGCTACTGACATGGGTCTTAAAGCCTAGAGCGTGGGCTCAGGTGGAGTTGCTACAGGTGAGGGATTCACCTAACTCAGCAGATACTGCAGGCAGGCCTGATGGCAGCTGGATGGCTTGGCTTCCTGGCCCTATGGGGCACATTAAGATTCAATCATGAAATTCCAGTAAAAATAGTCAGTTACCATTCTTGTGTTTATGCAAACATCAGGTCAAATTGAATACAGTAGATAAATTAATCTTGATTTGGCTTTTTGATAGCCATAGAAGAATTTTTTTTTTTCTGGGCTCAAAAGCCCTTTGGGGGGGTCCAAACGGTCCATCCGGGGTTCAAATGCTCCGACGGGGGGCTCAGGTGCCCATCTTGGGGTCTCGACAACCCCAACATGCCGCTCTGGGTTCCAGCACCCCCGATGGAGAGGCATAAAGTGGATCGGAGGCGACCCCCATTCCAGGTCCAGTCGCCCTCCTCGGGGGTCCTGCTCCGCGGGGGTCGCCTCAGAGCCCCCTGCCTGCGCAGCGCCCTCTCCTCACTCACCATGGCGAGGCCGGGGTGTCCGGAGCGCGGGGATCAAGGTTCCTCCGGCGGCGGCGGCAGCTGCAGCAGCTCGAGCTCCACCGCGCGTCCGCGCCTCCACACTCACTCGAATTTTTAAGAAGAAAAATCCTATTTCAGTAGAGGTTGTTAAAGCTAAAATGGTTTCTTTCCCTTCCACCGGACCATTTGTTATAGTTTGTCTCTGCCAGGTCACAAGCCCAGCTCCTTCTGTGACAGCGGACCTCGCCGGACCCCTTGTAATCCTCCTAATGCTGTTGACTTTTGGCCCTTGCATTATTAACAGACTAGTCTGATTTGTCAAAAAGCGCATAGGGGTGGTCCAGTTGATGGTTTTGAAAGCCCAGTACAGGCCTCTAGCGACGGAAGGTAAAATAGAAATGCAGTCCGTCTCATGATTGAGCCGTAAGTTCCAAGACAAGGGGGGAATGAACGGACAAAGCAGAAATGAACTCTCCTCCACTTTATCTTGTAGGGCTGGGCCCTCAGCCTAAACCCTCTCCCCTTTCTGAGAGTGACCACAGGAATGCCAGTAATATCCTAACTCCCCCAGCCACCACCTGAGTGGACCAATGAAGCTCCAGGAATGCAGCTAAGGTCCTAATAAGGCTATAGTGGGGGATGGCTCAAACCTCAGAATGTGTTGGTCACTTCCTGACCTTTGTGCTGTAAGACCCTGCTGAAAAACCCTGACCAGAGTGACCAATCTCTGTAACTCATGTCACTTACCTAAGCCCACCCAAATGACTAGGCCTATGTAACCTTTGTTCTCTTGGGACTCGGGGCTCTCTCTCTCATCCAATAATGGAGGCAGAGGGGGACCAAGCTGGCTTGAATAAAAGACTCTATGCTTTTGCTTTGGACTCGGCGCTCCCTAGTGATGTCCTTTGGGGGATCTTGAAATCTGGGCATAACAACCACAACATGAGGAACTGTATTAAAGGGTCGTGGCATTAGGAAGGCTGAGAACCACTGACCTAGGACTTTTCTATTTCGATAACAACTGCCACCCCCCAACAAAATCCCACATTCAGTGTTGGACAGAAATTTTGCTGTGATGTCACTGTGCCTGCCAGCCCTTTGAAATGGGAATTACTGGTGTCTGCTACTTTGTATTCAAATGCCAAGTTTATTTGTGAACACGTGCATATCTTCCGCCTCCTGAGACTTGACAGGTCTTGAGAAAGATGGGCTTTCTCTGAGCGCTCAGCTCATTTTAGGAGAACTCTGACCTGAGGGCATGAACTGGCAGACGGGGTGGGTATGCCCCTGCAGGAGTGTCTGTGCTTGGCCTCCCAGTTTGGGGGAGGAGGGGAATGAAATGCCTTTAGGGCACTGTGATCTGGGAAGCTCTGCACACTCCCCAGTCCCCTGCCAGCAACATCTTCAGCTGCCCATGCACACAGCCCCTCCCTGGCCCCTGCGGGTAAGTGAGGCTGTGATGAGACTCACTCAGGGAGGTCACAGGGCACTGCTAGCAGAGCCAGTTTCTCCAGGAAACACGCTCAGAGGTCAGGAGTTTCAGCGGACTTCCCTGGGACAGCCACGCACGGCCAGCCACCTTGGCCTGTAGGACAGGGTAGAGACCCACCCTGCTGCTCTGCCTCTGGCCATGTGCAGGAGGGAGTGTCAGAACATTGGGAAACTGTTTCAGATGGGAATTCAAGCCCAGCTGGTGTTGCTCAGTGGCTGAGCATTGACCTATGAACCAGAAGGTCACGGTTCACTTCCCAGTCAGGGCATATGCCCCGGTTGTGGGCTCGATCCCCAATAGGGGGCGTGCAGGAGGCAGCCACTCCATGATTCTCTCTTATCATTGATGTTTTTCTCTCTCCCTCTCCCTTCCTCTCTGAAATAAATTTAAAAATATATTTTAAAAAGAATAAAGTGGGCCAAAAAATGCTCAAGATCAATTTTGCGAGAGTGGCTGGGGGTAAAATCAATTTAGTGGGACCAGAAGAGCATTGGTTTAAGGTTTTTTGTTTTGTTTGTTTGTTGTCGTTAATACTCACCCGAGGATATTTTTTCCATTGCTTTTTAGAGAGCGTGGAAGGAAGGGAGGGAAGGGGGCCGAGAGAGAGAGAGAGAAACATCGATGTAAGAGATACACATTATCCCTAACCGGTTTGGCTCAGCAGATAGAGCGTCGGCCTGCGGACTCAGGGGTCCCGGGTTTGATTCTGGTCAAGGGCATGTACCTTGGTTGCGGGCACAGACCCAGTGGGGAGTGTGCAGGAGGCAGCTGATCGATGTTTCCCCTTCATCGATGTTTCTAACTCTCTATGCCTCTCCCTTCCTCTCTGTAAAAAATCAGCCGAAACCGGTTTGGCTGAGTGGATAGAGCGTCGGCCTGCGGACTTAAAGGTCCCAGGTTCAATTCCGGTCAAGGGCATGTACCTGGGTTGCGGGCATATCCCCAGTGGGAGATGTGCAGGAGGCAGCTGATTGATGTTTCTCTCTCATCGATGTTTCTAGCTCTCTATCTCTCTCTCTTCCTCTCTGTAAAAAATCAATAAAATATATTTTAAAAAATCAATAAAATATATTTGAAAAGAAAAAAAAGAGATACACATTAATTGGTTGCCTTCTGCAAGAGGCTGAAATGGAACTTACAACCCAGATATATGTCCTTGACGGGACTCGAACCTGTGACTCTTCCGTGCCTGGGATAACAATCTAACCACTGAGCACACAGGCGGGGGAGCATTTTTTAAAGCAGCCTTATTGAGGTGTTAGTAACACACGGCAAACTAGCACATATTTAAACTATGCAATTCGATAAGTTTTTTGTTGTGTGTGTGTGTTTTTTTTTAAAGAGCCTTTGCAGGAAGTTTTTTTTTTTTTAAGAATATATTCCATTGATTTTTCACAGAGAGGAAGGGAGAGGGATAGAGAGTTAGAAACATCGATGAGAGAGAAACATTGATCAGCTGCCTCCTGCACATCCCCCACTGGGGATGTGCCCGCAACCAAGGTACATGCCCTTGACCGGAATCGAACCTGGGACCCTTCAGTCCCCAGGCCAACGCTCTATCCACTGAGCCAAACCGGTCAAGGCGGAGTTTTTTTTTTAAATGTATTTTATTGATTTTTTAGAGAGGAAGGGAGAAGGATAGAGAGTTGGAAACATCGATGAGAGAGAAACATCCATTAGCTGCCTCCCGCACACCTCCTACTGGGGATGTGCTGGCAACCAAGGTACATGCCCTTGACTGGAATCGAACCTGGGACCTCTCGGTCCACAGGCCGACGCTCTATCCACTGAGCCAAACCGGGTGGGGGGGTGATAAGTTTTTTTTTTTTAGTCTATAACATAATCATATTTATTTCCTTTAGCAGCTCAGCCTTTCTTTTTCTTTTCTTTTTTTTTTATTACATGTCAGTAGTGGAACGATCCACCCCTTTTTACTTGCAAAGGGTGAACAGAAAGCTACTATATTTCTCTAGGACACTTACAAAGAGTTTTCTTCACCTGAAGAAGAAACTGGATAAAAGTAAGCGCAACCTTTCTTATGTCTGAAGTACCATAACAACCACTAACCGACAAAAGCAGGCAACGATGGGGGAGGCACTAAGCAAAAAGAAAACATTACGAAGTCATGTCGTGTTTTCCTTGGTGGTGATACGTGGGCTGGGATCTGCAGCCCACTTTGGACAAGTCGGGAAGTTTTGACATATGCGTGCACCTGTGGCACCATGGCCAGGTCAGGATGGGAGAAACTCGCCATTGCGAGACGGTGCCCTTTGCGATCCTCCCACCTGCCCTTCTCGCTGCTCCCCATGTCGACACTGGTCTGCTTCCTGTCACAGGTTAGTTCGTATTGCCCAGAGTTTTTTTCTGGCTTCTTTTCTGAGAATTACTGTGAGATTCACTTATGTTGTTGCATGTACCCATGATTCATTCCTTTGATTACTGAGTCATATACCATTGCAGGGATATAGCACACTTAGTTTTTGTTTTGCTTTTAAATATATTTTTATTGATTTCAGAGAGGAAAGGAAAGAGAGAGAGATAGAAACATCAATAATGAGAGAGAATCACTGATTGGCTGCCTCCTGCACACCTCCTACTGGGATTGAGCCCATGATCCGGCATGTGCCCTTGACCGGAATCGAACCCGGGATCCTTCAGTCCACAGGTTGACACTCTATCCACTGAGCCAAAACAACTAGGGCAAAGCACACTTTGTTTATTCATTCACTGATTGATAGTGAATCTAGGTTCTTTACAGTTTGGGGCAATTACCAATAAAGCTGCTATGAATATTTGTGTACAAATCTTTGTAAGAACATAGAATCCCCTTTCCTTGGGTTCATTTCCTGGGAGTAGAATGGCTGCACGTGTGGTAGGTGTATGTTTGATTTTCGAAAAAACTCCCAAACTATTTCCCAAAGTGGTTGTATCATTTTACAGTCTCATGAGCAATGTCTGAGGATTCCAGTCCTCCACATGCTTGTCAGCACTTGGTTAGCCTGTCTTATTTTTAAAATCCTCACCCGGGGACACTTTTTCCATTGATTTTTAGAGAAACTAGAAGAGAGAGGGAAAGACAGAAACACATCGACTGGTTGCCTCCTGCATGCGCCCCAACCAGGGCCAGGGCTGGGGAGGAGCCTGCAACTGAGGTACATGCCCTTGGCCTGAATCGAACCCGGGACCCTTCGGTCTGCAGGCCGATGCTCTGTCCACTGAGCCACGCTGGCTAGGGCTAGTCTGTCTTTTTAGTCGCAGCCCTTCTAATAAATGTAGACTAGTATCTGGTGGCTATTTAACGTGCGTTTCCTTAGTGACTGATGGTCTTTGTGCATCTTTCCACTTGCTTATATGCCACTTGCCTATCTCCTTTGGTGATGTGTCTATTCAAATCTGTTGACCATTTTAAAAATTGTTGTGCTTACTTTTTGAGTTTCAAGAGTTTGTTGACTTCATCCCGGCTGGTTTAGTTCAGTGGATAGAGCGTCGGCCTGTGGACTGAAGGGTCCCAGGTTCGATTCCAGTCAAGGGCATGTACCTTGGTTGTGGGCACATCCCCAGTAGGGGGTGTGCAGGAGGCAGCTGATCGATATTTCTAACTCTCTATCCCTCTCCCTTCCTCTCTGTAAAAAATCAATAAAATATATTTTTTTAAAAAAAGAGTTTGTTGACTTCAAAGAAATAGAAAACTCGATATTTCTCCAGCAAAACAGATTTATTCGGGAATAACACAGAACTGTAATTCGGCACAGAGTCCATTGGAGGAAACTGGGAGTTGGAAGCATTGTGGCTACTCATTGGTTTAGCTGTCACTGTCTCTCATTGGCTGAGTGGTTGCCAGGCGAAGAGAAGATCCTCCTTCCTCCTGGAGTAGCTGAGTAGGAACAAGTGATGGAGATGGGAAGTAGTCTCTTCCTGTTTGGGGTGATTGGCAGGTAGGGCGTGAGAGCTCCCCCTGCAAACGCTCTCAACTCCAAGTGGAGTTTCTGTTCATTAATTTCCACAAGTTCTTTTTTTTTTAATATATTTTATTGATTTTTTACAGAGAGGAAGGGAGAGGAATAGAGAGTTAGAAACATCGATGAGAGAGAAACATCCATCAGCTGCCTCCTACACACCCCCTACTGGGGATATGCCCGCAACCAAGGTACATGCCCTTGACTGGAATCGAACCTGGGACCCTTCAGTCCGCAGGCCTACGCTCTATCCACTGAGTCAAACCGGTTACGGCTCCACAAGTTCTTTTTGAAAAAATTATTTTTATTGTATAAAGAATTACAGATGTCCCCTTTCCTGCCCCCCCACATTGGCCCCCTCCACTTCCCTACCCCCTTGGCCTTTATATATTCTGGATAAAATTTATTTTATTTTTGTTGTGGTCCCTCTCGAGGTTTGGTGTCATCCTTCACAGTGAGAACTCTTTCATTCTGGAAAGTTCTATTTCATTCTTTCTTCCTCTCCCCTCTGTTGTCTTCTTGGGAAATCGCTAGTGGATGAAGATGGGCCATCTCTTAGATTTTCTTCCATCCGTTCCATCTCGTCCCCTGTTGAAGGCAGGTGCTTCCGGTGCCTGGGACTTTGCTGGTGAGCGAAAGCAGTGAACCTCTGCTCTCACCTGGTCGGGGTGGGGGGGCGGGGGGGGGCCTGGGGGGCGGGGGCGGGGACTGGCGATGGGTGACATGGCCTGACAGTAAATCAGCGAGTCATTTCTTCTGTTCCAGGTGATCGTTGCTGTGGAAGGAAATGGAACAGGACAGGGCAGGGGCCTGCGTTGGGAGCAGGTGAGGCCATCTCACCAGGAGCAGAGATAAAGGCCTGCAGAGGAGTTGGCCGGTGTCTGCAGGGGTGGGGAGAGTGAGGGGTGGAGGGAGCAGTGGAGCAGAGTGAGGGAGGCAGCCTGGGTGCGTGGGTGAGTGCGGGTGTGGGAAACCTGGTCGGAGGTGGAGTGGGCGGCAGGGCCGGTGCTTCTTCCGTGTTACTTGGAATTGGTGGAGCCCCGCAGGAGCGAGGGGGCTGGGGGTGGTGGTCAGTCTGGAGCACAGACGGTGGGTGTGGGAGGGAGGCCAGGCAGGAGGCCTGCAGTGGTCGGGGAGGGAAGCGCTGGCCAGAGGAGGTGGGGGTGAGCAGCTGGTCTCCCCGAGAAGCAGGGAGATCAAATGCTTTATTGTGGGAAATGCTCTGGGAGGGACATGAGGAGGGAGGTGCGAGGGAACTGCTGGTCAGCCACGAAGGTCTGACTTGGAGCGTGGAGGGGGGAGGCAGGAGCATCCTGGGGGTCCTGGCAGCCCGAGGAAGGTCTGGCACGGCCATCCCATTGGCGAATCCTCAAGCCAGAGCCAGTCATCAGAGGAGCCCGTCCCCCAGGACCTGATCGGCAGGTCCCTGGCAGTAAGTTCCTGGTGGTGAGCAGCGGGGGCAGCAGAATCCCAGAGCTAAACAGCTGGGACCCTCCCTGGAGTTGGGGGTCAGTGTCTTCATGGCCATACTGTCCTGGGCATGACTAGCCTGGACTGTCCCCTCACTTGACCTCCATGACTCCAGAAGGGAAGAGTGACCCAGCCTGGCCAGCGTGGCTCAGTGGTTGAGCATCGACCTAGGAACCAGGAGGCCGTGGTTCAGTTCCCCGTCAGGGCACATGCCCGGGTCGGGTCCTTGATCCCCAGTAGGGGGAGTGATTCTCATCATTGATGTTTCTCTCTCCCTCTCCCTTCCTCTCTGAAATCAATAAAAAAGCAAAAAAAGCAAAGAGTGACCCCAACTGCTGTGTGGGTCCCTGTTTTCTCCCTGCTCCTCCTCCCTACATCCTTTGCTTTGGGGTCAAGCCCTGTTTGAGGGGTGTTGAGGTTAAGTGGAATGTGAGTCTATTGCTAGCATGTACTAGTAGGTTCCTGGACAGAGGATGGAGAATCAGGTCACAAGATCTAGGAGAGAATGCAGGTTCATTAAAGTTTAAACCCAGAGCTTTCTGCAGTGGTTCTGAGAGTCAGCATCCAGCCGGGGGAGCGGACAGGGCACGTGGCCATGACAGGTCCTGCCTGGGCCGAGGTCTCTGGCTGGTGTCTGCACCATCCTCTGCGCGGGAGACAGTGGCCCAAGTTTGCTTTCAAGCTTTCTGCTTTTAAGCAACATTTAAATTCATCCCAGCACATCCTCGACTGCCTGGGGACGTCCTGGTCTGAGCTGGGAATCTGGGTCAGTGTTTATAAGAACAGTTTTGCTGAATGAAGCTGGAGCCCCCAGGGCGGGTGGCTTCTCGGGGGAGGAGGGGGTGAAAGGGGAAGGCTTTGGCCATGAGCCCATCCGTGTGACATCTGCTCTGGGCTGTGCTGTTGGGTGTTGACCTGGGCGCTGGAGCCTCCATGCGCCTCCTGGGAAGGCGCCTGAGGCACTGTGTGAGCCGGGCTGGGGTGTCTCCACAGTGGTTTGGGGTGACGGGCGGCCCTGGCCAGGGCTCCTGGCGTCAGGGTCCTGCTGGGCCGGGCTGTGCTCAGGTCGCTGGGCCCTGAGACCCCAAGGCTCCCAGACTGTGTTTGCTTCGCCTGCTTTAAGCTCCAGCATCTGTGCTGTGGGCTGAATTGTAACCACCCCCCCAGGAACAGGCTGGAGCCCCAAGCCCAGAGTCTCATGGGGCACTTATTAGGGGACAGTCCTGACAGATGTGACCCAGCCGGGAAGAGGTCACTGGGGTGGCCCAGGGCCAGCACGACTGGTGTCTTTATGAGAAGCGTTTAGGACTCAAGCACACAGAGGGACGGCTCTTGAGGACACGGGAGGACACGGGAGGACGCGGTCAGCAGTCCACAGGCCGGGGGAGAGGCTTCTAAACCAGACCCCGAGATCCCCTCCGCCTTCCGCCATGTCAGGAGACAGCCAATGACAGTGCCCGTGGCCCAGGAAGGGGGCCTTATCAGACACCCCACCTGCCAGGGCCTTGACCTTGGGTGTGTCCAGACTGTGAGGAATGAGTTCCTGTTGTGTGGAAGGGCCCCTCTGCCCCCAGGCTGTGGTATTGTCACAGCAGCCTGAGCTGAGACAGCGGAGCAGGCCTAGAGGGACCACGGCCCGCTGCCTGGGACACAGGGCTTTCCCACCTGTGGTCCGTCACACTGGTCACACTGGGGGAGTGACAGGGACAGAAAGCACATAGGGAAGGGAAACTCCTGCAACAAAAAATATCTCAATTTCAGTTTTTTAAAAAATATATTTTTATTGATTTCAGAGAGGAAGGAAGAGATAGAAACATCAACGATAAGAGAGAATCATGGATCGGCTGTCTCCTACACACCCCACACTGGGATTGAGCCCATACCCCGGGCGGGCATGTGCCCTGACCGGGAATTGAACTGTGTGACCTCCTGGTTCATAGGTCAACGCTCAACCACTGAGCCATGCTGGCCAGGCACAACAAATAACTTTTTAACTATAAATATACCCTAAGTATTGTATTCATATAAACATAATGAAAAAGCCCGTTTTATCTGAGATGCAAATTTAACTAGGATTCCTGTGTTTTTATGGCTAGATCTGCAACCCCCAGCTGTTCAGAGCAGCAGACACTGCAGGGCCTTGTGCCATAGGAGCACATGTGCCCCCGTGTGTTGGGGGCGCCCCCAGTTCACATGTGCAGTGCATGTCTCGCTGTGGATTTGAGAACCGTGCAAGCCGCCGTCCGGGAGGTGGTGAGTGGTAAGGGTGGGGCAACCACAGAGGCGGGGGCAGTGCTGGAGTGACAAGGGGCACCAGGGGCATGGTCATCACTCATTCCATGCCCTGCAGGTCTGTGGTTTTAGAGGCGTTTTCTTGAAAGAACCCTGAGCCTCCAAGTGTGTTTTGAAATATTACTCAGAAAGTCGCCTGTGGTGAGCAGAGGCTCACCTCTCCTCTGAGGGGAAGTCCCTGGTTCCGCTCTCCGGGCTTCACCTGGGCAAAGATGCCACCAGGTGGGCAACGTGCCCCATGCCAACAGCCACTTCCGCCCTTGGCCAGGAGGTGGCGACAGCGTCTGTGACCTCTAAAGACAGGCGCTAACCAGGTGCTTCCTCGCCTGGAGAACTTGCTTCCCCTTAATGAGTCTTTCATCCTCCCCCTGCCTCCCCCTTTCCCCCTCCCCCCGCACTTCCCTTTACCCCCAAAGCAACCTGGACCACACCTCTGCCCAGGCCGACTCCCAGAGTCAAAATGCTCAGGGCGTCCTGGCCGACTGCCCAGCCGGTGAGGGTGGGACTGGAGGCCAGGCGAGGCCCGGCCACCACAGCTGCTGCCTCCAGGTGGGGCTCCTGGACCAGCAGCCGAGAGAGGGCTGCTGAGGCCCCCTCCTCAGAAGCTGGCAGGTCCGATCCAGCCACAGGGCTGTGGCCAGGACCAGGAGTCGGGCGGCTCCCTGCTCTGGGGTTGTCCCCTCGGTCCTTCAGTGCCTCTGGTCTGCGCGAGCCGCTTCCTTTCCACCTGCCGCTCCCTTCCCTGCCCCGCCCGCTCTGCCTTCCCTCCATGCTCACAGCCCGGAGGGAACTCCCAGAGGCCACAGCGGGTCAGGGCAGCAGATGGGGGGGGGGGGGACGTGTCTCACTTGCTGTCGCCTGTGTCCTCACACGGAGCCCGCTGAGCCTGGGCCAGCCTCTGTCGGGAGGGACCCTGGACCGACCGGGACGAGCAAGGGAAGGCCGGGCGCCATGGGGGGCACATGGGGCTGCTTTGTCCATGTCTTGGGGGCCAGAGCCAACCCACCAGAGGAAGTGACCTTCAGCTGAGAGGAGCAGGAGAGTCAGGGTAGAGGGGGGAGGAGCAGCCGAAGCTGGAGGCCTGGGGTGCCGGAGTCTGCACAGATGGGGCCTGAAAGGTGTCCCTGACTTCAGGGTCCCCAGTGATGGTGACAGCGAGGCCCAGGCACAGCCCAGGCGGGAGGCTGGGAGAATGCCAGCTCAGGACCACTGTGGGTGGATCCTCAAAGGACCTGAGAGAAAGGGAAGAATGTTCCAGGTCATGGGGCGGGTGGTGCAGCCGTGGGGGCTGGAGGGGAGGCTGACCAGGGAGGGAGGAGGACTCTCACCCCCTCAGAGGGCAGCTGTGTCAGTGCCTCTTGGAGGGACAGATGTGCCCCGCGGCTGGAGGGACATGCCTGGGGACAGACATGCCCTGGGGCCGGCTGTCTGGACGAGGCGTGGTTGTCCCAAGGAAGTCCACTGAAACTCATTGGGTGCATATATGTTTACCAGGGTTATATCTTCTTGTTGTATTGATCCCTTTAGTATTATGAAGTGGCCTTCCTTATCTCTTGTTATGGCCTTCACTTTGAGGTCTATTTTGTCTGATATAAGTATTGCTACCCCAGCTTTCTTTTCCTTTCCATTTGCCTGAAAGATATTTTTCCATCCCTTCACTTTCAGTCTGTGTGAGTCCGTTCTAATGAGGTGGGTCTCTTGTAGAAAGCAAATGTATGGGTCATGTTTTTTTATCCATTCAGCCACTCGATGTCTTTTGGTTGGAGCATTTAGTCCATTTACATTTAAAGTTATTATTGAAAGCTATTTGTTTGTAGCCATTTCTTTTTGTGTGTGTGGCTCTTTTCTTTCTGAGCTTTTTGTTTCTTCTTTTTACACCAGTCCCTTGAGCATTTCTTGCATTGCTGGCTTGGTGGTGATAAACTCCCTTAGCCTTTTTTTTGCCTGTGAAGCTTCTTATTTCCCCTTCAATTTTGAATGATAGCCTGGCTGGATAGAGTATTCTTGGATTCAGTCCTTTGCTTTGCATAAGTTTGTAAATTCCCATCCATTCTTTTCTGGCCTGATGTGTTTCTGTTGAGAAATCATTTGATAATCTAATGGGAGAGCCCTTGTATGTAACTGTCCGTCTCTCTCTTGCAGCCTGTAAGATTCTCTCTTTGTCCTGAACATTTGCCATGGTAATTATGATGTGTCTTGGTGTGGGTCTTTTCAGGTTCATCTTGTTGGGGACTCTCTGTGCTTGTGTGACTTTTTTCTTCCCCACCTCAGGGAAGTTTTCTGATATTATTTCTTCAAATAGGTTTTCTAAGTCTTGTTCATCTTTCTGTTGTTCTGGCACCAATATTATTCGTATGTTGTTTCATTTCATGTTGTCCCAAAGCTCCCTTAGGCTCTCCTCCTGTCTTTTAATTTTTTTCTCCAAGTGCAGTACAGTTTGGGTGTGTTTTGCTTCCTTGTCTTCTAATTCACTAATTCGGTCCTCCGCTTCTCCTAGTCTACTGTTGATACTTTCAATGGTGTTTTTTATTGCAGCTATATCACTCTTCATTTCTTCTTGGGTCTTACTTAAGTTGTTGATTTTTTCATCTGTTTCTTCTTGTTTCTTGCATAAGTAGTTGATTTTTTCATCTGTTTCTTCTTGCTTCTTGTATATGTTGTTGATTTTTTCCTCCATCCGGTTTATGCACTCTAGGACCCTTAGTCTGAATTCTTTTTCTGTCATGCTGCATGCCTGGGTTTCACTTAGCTGCTTTTCTGGCGAGTCCTCCTTTTCTTTCCTTTGGGGGTTTCTCTGTCTACCCATGTTTGATCTCACTGACATATCTAGACATTGAGTCATTCAGTGGATGCTCCCTGGGTGGCAGTGGCTCCTTGGGCTGTGGTTGCTCCTCGGGCGGTTGCGGTAGCAGCTGTTTCACAGTTGGCAGCAGCTCCTCTGGTGGGTGCTGTTCACAGCTTTGGTGGCTCTTCTGGCTTCTGGGGGGAGGCTTCACGTACAGCTGCTGATCCTCAGAGGGTGTGGTGATCAGGAGGCTGCTGTTGCTTGGATTTGCTGTGTTGATTTAAGGGCACATAATACAACACAACAAGGCACACGTACCAGGCACAATTTCTCTAGTAGGTGGGTAATTACAAGGCAATTGCTGAATCCAGTGCAAAGTAGGTTCATAACTGAGCCAAAGTGACTCTCAGCTTCCAATAGCCAATTCTATGCTAAAGTTTTTACAGGCTGGGCTACTCTTCAATCTTCTCTTAAGGCTTCTCCTCCCTAGCATCTGTGTGTCCTCTTTTGAAAAATATCTATTTAGGTCCTTTGCCCATTTTTTTTTTAAAATATATTTTATTGATTTTTTACAGAGAGGAAGGGAGAGAGATTGAGAGTTAGAAACATCGATGAGAGAGAAACATCGATCAGCTGCCTCCTGCACGCCCCCCATGGGGTATGTGCCCGCAACCCAGGTACATGCCCTTGACCGGAATCGAACCTGGGACCCTTCAGTCCGCAGGCCGACGCTCTAGCCACTGAGCCAAACCGGTTTTGGCCTTTGCCCATTTTTGATTGGATTATGTACCTTCCTTTTGTTAAGTTGTAGGAGTTCCCTGTAAATTTTGGAGAATTAACCCTTTTTGGAGATAACATTGGCAAATGTGTTCTCCCATGCAGTGGGCTTTCTTGTTTTTTGGTTGATGCTTTTTCTTTTGATGTAGTCCCGTTTGTTTCTTTTCTCCTTAGTTTCCATTGGCCTACGGGCTGCATGGGTCAAGATATTGCTATACTTTATTTTAAGACTTCAAATAAATTCAAACTTTGAGAAAATTTGTTGTAGTTAAGTAATTCTATTAGTGTGTTGAAAACATTCAACCATTCAAACATTCAGTTTTATACATAATTTTTATATATGCAGAATTCTAATTTCTCTTTTTAAAAATCTATTTCTGTTGATTTAGGAGAAGAAGGGAGAGGGAGAGATAGAAACATCAATGATGAGAGAGAATCATTGACCACCTGCCTCCTGCATGCCCCACATTGGGGATTGAACTGTGCGTGTGCCCTGACCAGGAATTGAACCGCGACATTCTGCTTCCTAGGTCGACGCTCCACCCCTGAGTCATGCCGGCTTGGCTAATTTATCTTTTTTAAGTTATATTTGAACATAATGTCGTGGTCATGGTTTGCTCTCCAGGTTGATGTTTAGTGAAAAGGCTCCAATTGGGAGTTTACAGGTTAAATGTATTATTTATTCAATTAGGAGTAGCCCCTGTCTATGGGCGCTGGCCTCTGTGAAGTCATGGTTCCCTCCTGCCCATCTGCGCCCCTCCTGGAGGCTTCTAGCATTTAGTGTTTTCCTTCAGCAGTGACACGTGTTTACGACTCTCTGACCTGTTGGGCCGAGTTCACCTGCACCCACAATTGAAGGCGCCCCCCATAACCTGCTCTCCCCCCACCCCAGGTTTCCTCTTCCAGCTCCTGGTCCTCAGAGTTGGATCTTTTCCATCTAGTGGCTGCGTGGCCGGTCACAGCTGCTGGGTCCCCGGGTCTTCCTTCCCAGCTCCCGCAGGACTGCGTCTGGCAGGCCTCCCTTCCCGACTGCCCCTTCCACAGGGCTCCACGCCCCCACCTGGTGCTGCTCCCGCCTCCTCCTCCTCCGGCTCAGCTGCGCTTCAGAATGAGGGCTGTGGGATGTGCAGCGCTGCAGACAGATGTGCGGTGCTCTGTTTCCAAGGAGCCAGACGGCTGCTGGCCGAGGCGGCCCCCCTGGACTGAGAAGGCCAGAGGGTGGCTCACAGGCAGGTCCCAGTGCTGTGGCGGGTTGCTCTGGGCTGCAGCCAGCAGTCCGCGTGGCCCTGTGCCAATCCTGCACACTCAGACCGGATCTTACAGGGTGTGTCCCGTGACCGTGAGTGTCCTACCAGGTGTGCGTTGATGCGCTGGTTTTAAAAGGACTGACTCTTTCAGCATAAACGCCTCAGCTGACTGAAAAGAAGGGTCCCTGAGATGAGCGCGCTGCCACGATGGTCAGGTGTGTGCGATGACGCTGGGTCTGTTTCACTTGTGCAGGTCGGAGCTCCCTGTCTGGAGGCCGCGCTGAGGAAGTTCGATGACGTCCATAGAAAGGGAAGCGGAGGCACAGAGGGTGGCAGCCGGCTCACCATCCTTGCCCTTTTGTATGACTTCCACCTGGTACAGTCTCTCCGCATCTCCTACATGTTGGAAAAACTGACTGGAACTTTCACAGAGAAAGATAAGGAACTGATCCTGTTCAGGCTGAGAAATGGGGTTTTCATTGAGAAAACACGATGCTATGTCCCTGGCAATGATCAGAGAGACCAGGGCAAAGCCAGCGGGGCAGGCAGCACGTTCCGGGACCAGACCAGGGATGGTGGGTCCCTCGACCTGCCTCCTAAGTGCCTAAGTGCGCAGATGCTGAGCAGCAGGTGAAATAAGTGGGGAAATGCTGTGTGATGCCCTAGCCATCTGTTAACGTCTGCTCCTGGGATGAAGATGTTTTTATCGTGAGTGTGTGAGCAAACCTTATTCCTTTACTAAAACTCGGGTATTTTGTGAGGTTAAGAATCGATTTAATTCACACTCATCTGTTCAACAAATGTTCACTGAGGAAGGCCGTGTGGCTTGGAGCTCAGGTGTCAGCCGACCTGGACTTCTGACTCAGCAGTGGACAGCAATGTGACCTGAGTCTTCCAAGCCTCAGTTTCCCCTTGTAGAACACAGGGCTGAGCAGAGCTCCCGCCTCTTTTCCTTTTGTGCAGATCAGAGAAAGGGGAGGGCGGGGGAGCCCCTAGGGATGTGTGAGGAGCAGGGAGAGGGTGCGTGTGGGGCCCACAGGGGAGCAGGGCAGAGGCCGGTGCAAGGACTTGGGCTTTGATCCTGGAGGCACCTGGAGGGTTCTGAGTGGGAAACTGGCCTGGGAAGGGTTCGTGCTAACAGTCACCTTGGCTACAACGTAGAAGACGGAGGTGTTCAGGCAGGAAGACCCCTTCAGGGGTCAGAGACGGTGGTGGGAGGATTAGCTCTGTGGTAGTGGATGTGGGTGTGGGAGAGGGTGTGAGAGTTGGAACTGACCAGGCGGGGAATGGATGGGTGGGAAGGCGGGGTCAGCCCATGTTCTCAGCTGGGCCTTTAGTGGACAGCAGTACATGCAGGAGACACAGGCTGAAAAGGGAGGACGGGACCATCCTGAAACCTGAAATGCTCACTGGGAGGTGCTGTGGTCTGAGCTCTCTGAGGACGCATAGCCCTTAATATACGCGGTGGACACTGTGAATGGGTGGGTGTGATGCTGTGTGAATGCTATCACTGAAAAGTGAATACTTGGAGAAATCTCAGACAGGGGTGTCTGGGAGGTCTCTGAATTGTTCTTGCAACTTTTCTCTCAGTGTGACATTCTTTCCAGCTGAAAAGTTAAAGAGTGAACAGGCCAGGGGTGGGGAGGGAATGGCCAGTGTCGTGGAGAGGAGGGGTGGCTCAGAGCACAGGGCCAGGAGGGAGGAGTGCAGGGAGGGGGGAGAACCAGGGGGAGGAGGGGGGTGGAGGGGAGCAGGAGAGGGAAGGAGAGCTCTGTGGATAGTGGTCCAGGCCCCGGTGGAGGTCTGGCGGGGTCCGGTGCCGGGTCATGTTAAAAGGCTGCAGAGGCTGGAGTGGGGATGGTCTGCCTGCGACCATCGGGTTTATCAGCAGTGGGGGCCACGTGCAGAGTTGGTTTGTTTCTTCCCAAGTTGAAGTGATGACAATTTGAAATGATGGCTCTCTTTCTTTTCTTTATGTTTTTAAGGTTCGCTGTGTGCTGGAAAGGCTGTTGGTTCTGAAGAACAGTGGCGTGCAAAGGATTCCGGGCTGTGAGCCTGAGCCTGTGGAGAAACTGAGGAAATTGCTAAGAGCGGAAATGAGTTCCCTGTGGACGTGGACCCAGCGTGGAAGGGTGGGAGGTAGTTGGAGCCGCGAGGCGGGTGCCCGGCCTGGTCAGCAAGAGTTGCGAGGGATCGAATGGCAGCTGTGTTTCTGCGGTGAGACCCTGGGAGGGGCCCGTGTGCAGTGAGTCCCTGTGAGATCAGCGTCCCCCACACTTAGCCGGTGGTGCTGGACTCGGCTGTGCAGCAGAATCACCAGAGACCTTCTGACCACTTTGGAAGAGGGCCCACCAGGACCGGAGGCGTTAGCCCAGCAGGAGAGGGGCTTGTCTATGTAACCTCCCCAGGTATTTTTACGTGGGGCCACAGCAGAGACCCACTGCCCTCTCCAGTCGGGGCGTCCCCTACCCTTATTTATTTATTCATTTTTTTGAGGAGAATTCTTATTTTATATGTACTTTTATTGACTTCACAGAAAACTGGAGACGCAGCGCGAAAGAGAAACACCAGTGATGAGAACCATTGATTGGCTCTCTCCCGGACACCCCGCATTGGGGATGGAGGCCACAACTGGGACATGGGCCCCAACCTGGAAGCCAACCATAACTGCCTGGTTCTGGTTCATAGGTTGACACTCAACCACTGAACCAGGCCGACCAGGCTCAGGTGCTGGTAAACCTGCTTGTATCAAGAAAAGAATGGTATTGCTGGTTTAGTTAGCTTCAAGGTATTCTTTGAAACTATTGGAGAAGTTGCTAAGAATTGATAACTGAAAATTTGAGAATGACTTTCTACGACCTAATGGAACCCACTTTTTCTTTAAATCCTATGGCAAGGATGTGCTTATTGATTTGAGAGAGAGAATCATTGATGTGAGAGAAAAGCATCAATTGGTTGCCTCTCATACACACTCCCACTGGAGACTGAACGCCCAACCTAGGTATGTGCCCTGACCGGGAATTGAACCCACAGCCTTTCCGTGTAGAGAATGATGCTCCAGCAAACTGATCCACACCGGCCATGTCGTGGACCAATTTTTAGGAAAGAAAACTTTCTGTGACTCCTAACCTTTGTGCATATCCGTGGTCCAAAATACAGCTCAGTCCATGGGAGTTCAGGGAACACCTTGATGACTTTGAGTTGATTGAATGAGATGCAATGTGTGCAATGTGCTCATCACTGTGCCAGGCTTGTGCTCACTCTTTTGTGGTTTCAGTCGGCCTCATCCAGTTTTCTGTGTCATTCTTATGTATTTTCCTTAAAAATAGCACTAGGTTCATAAATTTTGCATCGTTTCTCTAAAATGTTGGCCCTGAAAACGGGGAGCAGAGAGTTTGAAATTTTATCATCCAGTTTATATCCCTTTGGCATAAGCTCATCAATTCAACTGCTCTTGAAATCTTGATTTGCATAATGATAAATAATTTTCATTATCTCAAGATTCCTTAAAGTATATGTTATTCGCTGTGTTCTCACTTCAGGTCACTGCATCTATAAATTTGTTTCCAGGTTAGATCACATTTCGTTGGACATTAATTGAAATCTCATCATGCTGCCCACAAATGAAGGCGGTTAGATTTATGGAATAGCTTCTGTACGAGTAATTGATAGAGATAGTTATGAAAAAGTAACCACTTTAGGTGGGATTTTTTTCAGTTTTGTTCTTTTGTTCGGGGCAGGAATAGACTGCTGGGGACTCGCTATGATTACAAGGAATATTAATGGTGCTCTGTTAACCATGATTGTTCCGTTCTAATGAGGGAAAGCACGTTCTGATCTGGTGGAGAGTTGTCCGCCCTGGGACATGGGAGCTAACAAGGGAATGCAGGCCACCCTCCTTTCTGAGAAAGGCCTAGATCAGCAACCTCGTTGCCTGTAATCTGGTCCGGGAGCCTCCCGGCCTCTGCCAACACCCAGCCCGAGTTGCCTGTAACCTGTAACCACTATACCTTCCTACTTTCCCAGGCCTGAAATGTCTGCTTTCCCATGGGATCTTTGTCCTTCTACCCAAGATAAGCAGCTGGCTTATTGGGGGTGGGGGACAGGGGGTAGAGCAGACGTTTGTGGGTGACCTGCTGCTCTCTCCTTCTGCTGCATTCATGGAATAAATGATCTCAACCCTGTCTCTGCTTCATTGGCTCAAGGAGTGACCAGCAGCCCGGACCCATTGCTTGTCCAGATTCACTTTCAGTAATTTTATAACAGTCATTGGAGCTGGATAATGAATCGAAATGCTAATCAGTACTCTCCCCCCACCCCCAATCTAAGTCCAAAGATTTCATCTACTTTAAACAATTTAAATTTATCTTAAATTAAGAATGAGTTTTTTAATTAACCCAAGTAAACCATTACTAGTTTAGAAATAATTGATTGGCAGCCTAAATGTTTAAAATCTTTTCTGAGGGTGCCTGTATATTTGTTCTCTAAATGTCTTTCTTGCATGTGCTAATTTAGTACTCCTTGCACAGAAAGCTATGTACAAAGTCCTTTTGTTAAAATATTTTCCAGTCTGGCCGGCATGGCTCAGTGATTGAGTGTATCACTATGACCAGGAGGTCACCATTAGATACCCAGTCAGGGCATATGCCCTGGTTGGGGGCTTGATGCCCATTATGGGGCATGCAGGAGGCAACTGATCAATGCTTCTCTCTCATCATTGATATTTCTCTCTCGCTATCTCTCCTTTCCCCTTGGAACTCAATAAAGATATATTTTTTAAAAATACATAAAGTAGCTTTGGCTGACTGGATAGAGGGCTGACCTGGGGATTGAAGGGACCCAGGTTTGATTCTGGTCAAGAGCATGTACCTTGGTTGTGGGCACATCCCCAGTGGGGAGTGTGCAGGAGGCAGCTGATCGATGCTTCTCTCTCATCAATGATTCTAACTCTCTATCCCTCTCCCTTCCTCTCTGTAAAAAATCAATAAAATATATATTTTTAAAAATATATATGTATATAAAATATTTCTCAAATATATAGCTTTACTTTGTTCATTTTTCTTATAAACTACACATTAGTGAGTGGTCTGTCAATTGTTTTTTAGGCAATTGACTGGTGGACTTGAGGGGTCTTATGTATGAACTATTGACAGTCGATGGTGAGAATTTCCGAGCTGGGCTCTGTAGGTAAGACTTCACAAAATAAAATAATTGTGTAGTTCCCTGAAAGGAACGAATCAAATTTCTGTAATGTGGCTGATGGGAAAAAATAATTTTTTGAAACATAGACAGACATATCAGAATGAAGTGGTTAATTTCCATTTATACTGGTATAGGATCTATAAACATAACCTTTATGTTTCTTTATATTTTATGTGCCAGATAGATCTTAATTAATCTTCATGGGGAGAGTGTCCGAATTTTTGCGTATTCCTAAAGCAGTTGGCATGGGGCATGAGCCTCTGGCAGAGCCGTTTAGAATGCTGGGCCTAGAGCAGTTTGGTTGGGGGGCCATGGAGACAGTGGAATGTTAGGTGTGGAGTTGGTGGGCGTGGAGTCAGTGGGCGTGGAGTTGGAGGGTGTGGAGTCGGTGGGTGCGGAGTTGGTGGTGGGGAGTCGGTGTGAACTGTCAGTGTGTGAAGAGTCGGTGTGAAGAGTTGAAGTGAGAAGAGTCGGTGGTCGTAGAGTCGGTGAGTGCAGAGCCTCTTCCTGTGTGAGAAGGGACTGTCCCTGCCGCCCCCTCAGGGCTCTTGTGAGGAGTGAATGTGCAAGGACAGAGGGCACCTGGCGCAGGGCCGGGGATGGGCAGAGAGACGGTGCCCAGGTGACTCCCGAGTCTGTGAGCAAACCCTTCCCGCTGCCAGGCTTTGACCAGAACCGTGTCCACTGGCGGCAGGTCCACGGCTTCCCTTCTACCAAGAACCTTGGGTTCTGGCCGGTGTGGGAAAGTGAACACGAGATGGAAAAGCAGGAGCTACCGACAACTCCCAGTTGTTAGAACCGTGCGTGGGGCCAGCCTTGGGAAACTGCCACCGAGAACAAGGGACACGTTGGGTGCATGCGTGTTCCCAAACTGTGAAGGCGCTTGGGGCAGACTCAGCCCTAGGACACCAGTGGTTCTGGGAGGGCTCCTGGGCGGGAGCAGAGATGAGGGGAAAGAGCTGACCGGCTCCGCGTGTGTGCTGGGCCCTGGGTCCAGAATAGGCCCCGCGGACTCCTCCCCTGAGGGGGCCTGCGAGGGACCAGCCATGCGTCCCACACCCAGCATGTGCCTGACACCCAGGGGCCCATAGTGCTGTTTGCTGTGCCTTAGCCCTCATTTCCGGGAAACTGCCCAGAGCTGTTGGTTTTCCAAGAGGCTGTGTGTGACCTGTTCACATAGGAACTGGGTGTTGAACAAAAACTCACCGGAACAGCCATTTATTTCCAGCTCCCAGATCAGCGGAGTGACCGTGGAATTGAGAGGCCGAGGCTCAGCCCTCACACCTGGGATAGATCTTAGCCCCACCCCTTCCTAGTTAGGGAAACGGGCTCAGGGAAGTCCCGCACCTGTCAGCAGGTGCGCTCGCCCAACCAGACGAGGCTGTACATGTCATACACTCTCACATCCTGTGTTCAACAGATGGGGGCAGCTTTAGGTTTATGTGGTGCCCTTCTCTGATTTTCTGCTACTGGGCAGGGGCTGCTGCCGACACAGTGACCTGCTACCAGCGAAGAGTCATATGCTAAGCTCAGTGGCTTAAGTGGGCAGCAGTGAAGGCCCTCAAAAGAGACAGGGCCTGCCTGGCCGGGCCAATGCGCAGGTCGTGGGCTCCATGCCCAGGGGTGGCTTGTGGGAAGCAGGCGATCAATGATTCTCTCTCATCATTGATGTGTCTATCTCTCCCTCTCCTTTCCTCTCTGAGATCAATAAAAGTATATTTAAAAGAAATTATATATATACACTAGCGGCCCAGTGCACGAATTCATGCACAATTGGGGTCCCTTGGCCTGGCCTACGGGAATTCGGCTGAAACTGGCTCTCTGACAGCCCCTGAGGAGTCCCAGATTGCGAGAGGGCATAGGCGAGGCAGTGGGACTCCACTGGTGTATGATGAGGGCGGGGAGGGACACAGGAGGTTGGCTAGTGGGGAGGGACCCTGGGAGGGCCCCAGGGCATGTCAGGCCTGTCTAGTTCAGCCCCAATCAGCCAGACCCCAGCAGCAAGCCAACCTGCCAGTTGCAGCGTCTGCCCCCCAGTGGTCAGTGCACGTCATAGCAAGCTGTTGAGTGGCCTTAGCATACAATTCGTGTATTATGCTTTCATTGGTTGAATGGATGACCGGACACTTAGCATATTAGGCTTTTATTCTATAGGATGTTAAAAAAAAAAAGCCAAACAAACGGATAGGGCCTGACTGCTGTGTTGCTTTCTGTAAGGATGGATGTAGGTGGGTGACTGGCAATAAGGGTCTCTGCTGGCAACTAGGATGTGGGCCGAGCTGTGATTTGGGAGTCCCTACGGCCTTTCCAAGACATGGTAAACCAGCTAAGGGGCCTGAGAGCCGCCCGTCCTCCTATCATCTGCCTTACAGCCCTGTGCTGTGCGTCACTTTGCTCAGACACCACTGAGGCCTCATGGGTCTTCATCACCTACCACTGGGTCAGCATGTCTTTTAGTGGCTGTAGGTCTCCCAGCAGGACCCTGTGTTGGAGTCCCTTCTGTGCAGCTGTGCTCTAGGAAGTGAGCAGGTGCATGGAGGCCCTTCATCCTGGGGAATGAGGGTAGCTGCACTGGGGCGGGGCAGGCCAGCGGGTTCCATGGTGCGCATCCTCACCCCACCCCTCTTCCTGCACTAGGAACGTGGACACATCCCCCAGCAGTTCCTTGAGGAGCTGCTGGGGGACATCATGGCCCTCGAGGCTGAACAGGTCCAGAGGAGGAACCAGCCCGCCCACCTGAGCTGGGAGCCGGAGCTGCTGATAGAAGGTAGGCAGCAGCCCCTGGCGCCGGGGAGCCAGCCTGGCTGTGGCTTCTCCCTCACCCAGGGAGCTGAGCCCTTGGCTCTGAATCTCCTGGGTCAGCCCACCCTCAGCCCAAGTCAGTAGGGTGTGATTCAGGGGCCATTTAGGACCGTTTCATTGCCATTCTCCCCAAGGGGAACATGAGGGGCCTGGCAGCCTCAAAGTCAGGACATGAACTACAAGTAAGTAGATTCAGATTTCTCAGCGCCCGTGGGGACCATCCCGGGAGCTTCCAGATGACAGCACGCTGACCCCAGAGGCTGTCTTAGACCTGTCCGTGGGGGATTGAAAGCTCTGGATGGCAGGGGCTTCCCCAGTGCTCACTGACCTGCATTATAACAGAGGCCTGGGCTGATGGCCTCCGATCCTGTCATCCCCGGGCAGATGGGTGCCGTCTGCTCTCTGTCTCCCTGGGCAGGGGCTGCTCAGTGACCTCTCCTCCCGAAGGACCTCACCCACGGGTGGCAAGTACTCGACACGCGCGCCCCAGATCCTCTACCCCCCACAGACCTACTGGTCAATTACCATGCCTCCCACTCCCCAGCTGAGCCCCCCAGACCGCCCCACTCTGACGGCTGGCCCGGACCATGCCATGTCTTTGCCGACTCTGTGAGTCTCTGAAATCCTTGACTTGACGGTCAGGTTAGAACTTGGCAAAAAGTGGTTCCAGCAGTTCCACCGTCTTGAACTTCTGCTTTGGCCTCTCCACGGTCACCTGCCTTCTTCTTAAGCTCTGGGTGGCTCCCCTACCGGCCCCCAGCTGAGCCAGCACAGGGGCCACAACCAACAGCGGCAGCACCTTGTGTACGACACCCAGCTGACCATCCCCGGCCCTCACACCTTGGCCTCGGGGTGGGGGGGTGGCCGTCTGGGGGGATGGTCCTCTCGGGGCCAGAGTCAGAGAGGGGAAGTGGAGGCCCTGGAAGCTGGGCTCTGACTCCACTTTGCTCTTCAGGCTGCACGCGGATCACTGATTTGGAGGAGAATACCCATGCCCTCCGGGGCACAGTAAAGACGCTGAGGGAGGAGAACCAGCAGCTCCGGAAAGAGGTAACAGTGGGCGGTGTCCGGAATAGACAGGCAAGCCAGTGGCCAGGTGTCCCGTGGGGTGACAGGTTTGGGGTTTGCTCTCAAGCCAAGTTCACTCTGTGACCTGACTGTGGCACGGGCTGGGTCTTTGGCTCTGCAGCTGGAAGAGTTGGGGACCCAACTCACCCAGGACAAGGCCAACAGCCAAAAGGAAGAGCTGGAGGGAGAACTCCAGTCTAACATCGCCAACACCGTGAGGCCCTCCAGGGCCACGCAGGTAGGCCCTCCAGAGCGCATGTCCCCCTGGCACCCCCGCCTGCCCGAGGGAGCATCCGGGATCACAGCCGTGTCCTGGTCATTGATCAGTGATTCCTGGGTGACCAGTTCCCTCGCTCAGCTGCAGCTCAGACCAGCAATTCTCAGCCGCTGCTGGCAGCGGGGGCAGGTGTTGCCTCCCAGGGACACTGGCCATCTTGGTGGTGGTTGACAGGACTGAGGGGAGGAGGAGGACGGTGCTGCTGCCTGTGCCCATTCCATGGTTGTTCCGTAAAGATCAGGGTCAGTTGGCTGCTAGTGTTGTTCAGATATTCTGTATCCTGACTGCTGTTCTATGTACATTTTCTATTTCTTTTATTTTTAAAATATTTTTATTGATTAAGTTATTATTTTTTGTGTGTGATTAATCACTATGCTTTTATTATGTTCAATTTGTAACAATGAAATTGGGGGTCACCACAACATGAGGCACTGTATTAAAGGGTCGCAGCATTAGGAAGGTTGAGAACCACTGGTTTAAGGTTTATTTCGACCTCAATTGCTGGCCCCTACCTAGCCTGGCCCTGTTCCGGGCTTGGGCAGGAGGCAACCAACTGATGTGTTTCTCTCACATCGATTCTTTCTTTCTTTCCCTCTCTCCCCCACTCTCTCTAAACATCAACTATCCTCTCGGGTGGTAAACGTGGTCGGGGTGAATGTTCTTGAGCATCTCCAGGAAGGCCTGCGGGGATGCTGCCTCCACATTCTGGAAGGTGTTCTGGACTCTGCCAAACAGGATGAAGGATTTCTCCTCCAGATCGATGAACCCCAAGTGGTTCTCATCGAACAGGATGACGACTCCAGGGTAGCGCCAGTTTGAGGGACATACGGGAACAGTTTCCACGCCATAGAAACACATCCTGCAGGTCCGGGGGTAGTTCTGGTCCCTTGGGCTCACGCCCACAGGCAGAACAAAGGGGGCAGGCTGCTCCTCTGCAGCTGCAGCCCCGGATTCCCCGACGCTGGGCTGGGCAGGGCTCTGCCAGCCATGGCCCTCGCTTTCCTCGGTCCCGTCTTCTTGCTGCTGCGGCTGCTGTTCCCGGAGCACCTGCTCCTCCATCTCCCGGACCAGGCGGGAGAGCTCGTGGAAGTCGCGGAAGATCTCGCCATCTCGCAGCTGGATGCGGCGCGTGAGGTGGATCTCTAATATGTGGGATGCCATTCCCGTGATGTGCGTGAGCCTGGCACACTTCCCGTGGAAGCTGAGCATGAAAATCATGAGGCCCAAGCGATCCGATCGCATTTGCCTTAGAAGAGGCCTGGCCTGTTGAGGTCCTCTGGGTGGCTGGGCGGGAGGTAGAGGCTGCGGTAGGTCAGGCAGTGATGCCGCACTGTGACATTCCATATCAGCGCCTTTCGGCCCGAATTCCTCCCTAAGCCGCGTCGGTGAATCCCTTCGGGGGTCTCTCTTCTGGCACTGGCTGGTGAGCCTGTCCTTCCGAATCTGCAGGCGGCGGCTGTGGGGCCTGCGGTGGCGGCCTTCCATGCACTCCACCGTGGCTGATTTCCGCTCCCTCAGGCGGATTCGGAACGCGGGCTTGAATTGCATTGGGCCGTCCACATGGGTGTTAAGACAAGGCCTGTACGTCCAACCAGTAATGCCTAAGACGTCCACCACTATATACAGCAGTGTTTTATAGAGCTCAATATCTCGCCCCCACAAACCCAAAATGTGTCTGTCTGGGTGGAACAGCTTCGCATAGACTTCTCGGTAAGACGTACCTACTGCCTCCAGATTCTGCAAGGTTTCACAAATGCCAAACTCCTCCCGGCAGCGCCGTCTCCAGATGTTGTCCATGTGCAGGATGCGGCGGAATTTGGTGCAGACCTGGGCCAGGCTGGCCAGGTCGGTGACGGGGAGCGAGGCCAAGATAACCACCAGCATCTCCACCCGCAGGTCCTGCAGCGAGCAGTGCGGGGGCGGCCTGGGGCTCGCGATTCTTCCACTCCCCACCCAGCACCCCGCTGCGGCGTCCGCCTCGAGGTGCTTTTCTGCTGGGGCCTGCTTGCCCTCGGCCGCTGCCTTCTCAGCCTGACCCTGGCTCTTCTGAGGACACCACTTGCCCTTGGCCATTGCCATCTCAGCCGGGCCCTGGCGCTCCTGAGGACACCCACATCCCCGCGAAGAGCCCAAGCCGCAGAGGCAAGCGCACTCCTCCATGCCTCCTTGCTTACCAGCCACCACAGTCGATTAAGTTATTACCTATGTGTCCATATCCCCACATTACCCCCTATTGGTGGGGGGAGGGAACTCATGCTCTCAGCCCCGTGTTGTCCGTGTCCATTGGTTAGGCCTATAATCTTGCATATAAGTCCTTTGGTTGATCTCTATGTCCTTTTAAAAAAAGAGGCTTTTACATGTGGTCAGAGAGGGCAGCCAAGGAGCTGATCCAGAGAGCGGGCATCCTGTGCCCCTAAAGGTCCCGAGTGTGGAGAGGGCGCAGGGCTCCCGTAGCACCATGTGGGCCCGGCCAGCGCAGTTCCTTCAGTGCTGGGAGAACCGCACTCAGCACGGCTGGTGCTGCCTGCCCCGAGGGTCCCTGCTCTTTTGGGGTCTGCACTTGCCCTGCTCTTGGCCCCTCACTGCGTGTGGGGGTGCAGGGATACGAGGTCTGTTGCTCCCCGGGGCCTGCACCCAGTGAGGCATCCTCACCTTTTCCCTCTGGGCAGGAGGAACCTTCCAGTCTGGGCCCCCAGAACCAACAGGGGGCCGAGGAGAGGGAGCTGGAGGAGCCGGGGGAGCAGGAGAAGCAGGTTCCCGAAGTGCAGGAGGCCCTGAAGCAGGAGCAGGAGGCCAAGGCCCTTGCCGCCGCCAGAGAGAACAACGGAGAGAAGGAGAGGCTGCGGCAAGAGAATGAAAGGTAACCGCCCCGCCCCTGCAGCAGCATCTGCCGCCTTTCAGTCACACCAACTCCCTCAGCTCCCGCTGAGCTCAGCTCAGGTGAGTCCCCTGGTAATGGTGCCCTTTCACCTGCCCTGTCACGGTCACAGCTGATGGTCAGGAGGGAAGGGCCTCCAGCTGGTGGCTGGGATGGAGCATCGTCCAGGTGTGGGTGACCGCCCCTCCCACATGGATGATGGTGATGACTGTGTCGGGCACGGGCATCTTCATCCTCTCTCATCAGCCATTCCAGAAGGACATATGCTTGCTCCCCGTCATTCCCGCGTTCCCTGTTGGCGAACTCACCTCCTCGCTGAGATGCACTTGTCACCCCCCATTGGTCCCCATGGCCTGTCAGGGGCCTGTCCATAGGGCGAGATCCTGGAATCGCCTGATGTGCACATTTGCAGCTGCGGTTGAACAAGGCCTCTGACTCCTGCCTGTTTCAGCTCTCACACTGCACACGAGCGTCCCTTCTGTGGTCCATTGAGTGCCATGGAGTCCTCTTCTCTTGCTTTTTGGTGGCGATTTCGCTGTTTGAAACGGCCCCCAGATGGAGTGCTGCAGTGCTGTCTAGTGTCCAAGTGCACGCTGCACTGGGCCTCAGGGAAAATACCCAAGTGGCACATGAGGGTCGTTCAGGCCCGAGGTCTGGTGCTGTTGGCTGTCCCAGTGAGCATGTGGCACAAAGCGTCCTTATGTCTTGATTGGTTGACAGAAATGTGGCCAGAGACTCACAGGAACTGGTGGGGACAGTTGCAGTCTACACTGCTCAGTGCTCGCGGGGGCTCCATAGGACATTATACCGCGGATCCTGAGAATTGACTGCGTTTGTATCCTTCTTTTCAAACAGATGAGGAAAGAGGCTCAGAGAGATTCAATAACTTGTTCGGGCCAGTCCTGAGTGTAGTGGCCCAGTCAGGACTCAAATCCAGGTCTTGTCTCAGCCCAGTGGCCTGACCACGTGAAGCCTTCCTTCGCACAGCCTTGTTTTAATATGTTTGGGGCTACAAAGTCAGGTGCCTGCGGGGCCAGGCAGGTCCAGCAGGTGGGGAGGGAATGTCAGCGGCAGGGCAGGCCCTCGTGGAGAATACACACCCTCTGAAGGCGGTCAGCTGCGGGGCGGACCCGGGCTGCCAGGCCATCCTTTTGTTTCTACTTTTTTATTCTTATTATTATTTAATCCTCATCCCAGGATACTTTTTCCATTGCCCTTCTGAGAGAGAGAGAGGGAGGGAGGGAGGGAGGGAGGGAGAGAGAGAAACAGCGATGGGAGAGACACATCTATTGGATGCCTACAGCACACACCCCTCTATGCCGGGGAGCAATCCCACAGCCCAGGGACATGCCACTGGGAATCCAACCCGTGACCATTCCGGACACAGGCTGATGCTATCACTGCTGAGCTGCCCCTGCCAGGGCCTTTGCTTGATGCTTTCTCCCCACCCTCCCAGAATCTCGGTAGCTGAATGTTGATGTGAAACGGAACATTTTTAGAAATATTGAATAACTAATTACTTTAAATTAAATCACGGAGACTGTGTGGGCCTCACAGGGCCCATCTGTGTTCACATGGAGTCCATGAGCCTCTGGTCATTGAGATTTCACGTAGAACCCTTACTCCTGGAAAGCCAGTCGGGTAATTATGCCGATAATAATGATGATGATGATGTCAGTGGCTTTACATAATGCTCCAGAATCTCTTATTTGTATCAGGAGTTGGGATCAGAAAGGGACTTGGAATTGGGGAGAAGAGCTGGGCAAAGGCAGAGTTTCAGAGCAAAGATGATCTGATTCCAAGTTTTTCAAAAGTGTTTCAGTCGAAGAACCCTTTTTCCAAGGAGGCAGACATGCAAAGCCTTCCATGGGAAGGATTTTTCACAGGCTGCTCTGTTGAATTGTGTCCGAGCCTGCCTGTCCTGTGTCACAGCCCAGAGTGTGGCAGCCGGGGTGGCCGCATAGAACCCCAATGGACACAGTTTAAGAACCTCTGAATGTGCTCAGCCCTCATTTCCACAGGGGAAAACCTGAGGCCCAGAGAGGATGGGGGTGTGATGGAGGTGTACATGGGACAGAGGCTGGGAGTGCTCCTGAGCCCTGCGCCGTGTGGCTCTCCACCCGCAGGCTCACTTCCTGGACTGAGCTGCTTCAGGCGGAGCAGGAGGAGCTACGCTCCCACAGCCAGGAGCTGCAGGCCACCCTGGAGGAGGTGCAGCGGAAGATGTGGATCTGTCAGTCCGAGTACCGAGACCTGAAGGCAGAGCAACGGCCCAAGGAAATCTTGCTCACCAAGCTGACCATGCAGTGTGAGGTGAGGCCGGGGGCTGGTGGGCCTCAGGAACCGGGCCTGAGCCCGGGGCTGACAGCCTGGGGCTCAGCCATGTCCGAGTGGGTCCTCATTGGCATCTGTGCCCAACCCCCAGAGGCCGAGAGGAAGCCAGAGGCATTTAACAGTGACAAGCACCTTGGCTGGTGGGGATGTGTTAGAAAAGACCTCTCACCAACCTTTGCTTTTGTATTTTTTAAATCTATTTTTCTTGATTTGAGAGAACAAGGGAGACGGAGAGAGAGATAGAAACATCTATGAGGACAAAGAATCGTGGTTCCGCTGCCTCCTGCACCACCCCCGCGGGGTGCCAGCCCACAACTTGGGCATGTGTCCTTGACCGGATTCGAACCTGGGACCTTTAGTTCGCAGTCCGATGCTCTCTCCACTGTGCTAAACTGGTTAGGGCCTGACCTTTCCTTTTCGCAGGGCCGGGGGCTGGGGGGGCGGGGCGGGGGCGTGCATGGAAGCAGCTAAGTGCTGTTTTCATTCTGTCCTCGCGGCTGAGCTCTTTGCTCTGTCTCCCCGTGTCATCTCACTGAATTCTCACAATGCTTTTGTGAGCTGGCGCCCGTCCTCATCCTCTGAGGTTGGGTCTGAACTCAGTTTGTTTGAAGCCAAAGCTTGGGCTTTCCCACCACTCCAGCCCGATGATGTTCTGGGTGGAGAGTTGAGCAACCTCAGCCCCGAATTCCTATCCAGCCCGGCATTTATTTTTCTGATGTCAGAGAGAGGAAGGGAGAGGGAGAGAGGGATGGGAACTTCAATGATGAGAGAGAACCTCTGATGGGCTGCCTCCTGCACGCCCCCTACTGGGGATCAAGCCCTCATCCTGGGCGTGTTCCTTGACCAGGCATCTCTTTGGTGAACTCCTGGTGCATGGGGGGCCGCTCCACCACCTGAGCCACACCCTTTGGGCTGCTTCCTAATGAGATACTTTACATTCTTTTTAAAAATGGCTGTCAAGTCCTCAGAGCCTCTTGTACATTTTGCACTGATGGCGCCTCTCTGCTCAGACTGGCTGTGTTTTCAGTGCTCAGTGGCCACACGTGGGCAGGGCTGCGCGACTGGCCGGTGCACTCGGCCATCCCCATGTCATTGGCTGTGTTGGTCCTTGCGACTGGTGAAGCTCATGCCGAAATGGCCATGTTCATGCACGTGGCCCTTTTCTCCTTTTGGGAGCAGTTTCCCAGCAGTGGAGTCACAGGGGCCCGTGGTGTTGAGGACATTGTTGATCTGTGTTTCAGTCGCTCACCCGTGCGAAGAAGGACTGGCAAGAGGACAAACGTCGCCTGAAGAGCGAGATAGACACCTTGAAAGAGCTGAACCAGATCCTCCTGGACGCATGTGACCAGCAATGCACTGAGAACGTGTAAGGGGGAGGGGTGACCGACACCTGTCCTCACAGGGCTGCGGGCTTCCAGCTCCACGCCCAGGCCTCCACATTCTGGGCAGAGAGCCCGCCGGCGAACTGGTGTCCCCAGGGCAAGGGAACAGACCATCTTCCCAGTGCACCCTGCTCTCCTTTCCCCGGAATGGCTCTAGAATTCTGCAAGGAGCGGTGGTTGGATTTTGCTGGCTTCAACGACATGGCCCACTGCCAGCCGCTTCTTAATCTGCTTTTGGAATTAAGCTCAGTTTAAAAATGATGACAGAGGTAAAGAGAGGTACCTAGGGAAGCCATCCAGGTCGCGGGTTGAGCCCGTTCTCTGTCTGATTTCCGCTTGAGGGGCTGGAGAGAGGGTTGTGGGAGCGCCGCGGTTGTCCTCCCTCTGCTGACATGACAGGGACCTGGCTGTGGCGGAGGCCCTGCGAGGTGCACAGAACCAGTGACCTGGTGGCCACGCACAGGCAGGGGTGATGGCGT